GCCGGCACGGCCCCGGGGCACTCACAGCGCTCACCCCTCACAGCCCGCCCGGCCCCGGGGCACTCACAGCGCTCACCCCTCACAGCCCGCCCGGCCCCGGGGAGCCGCACACCGCTCAACCCTCACCTCACCCCCCTCATCCTCCCACAGAAATGGTGTGAGTTCCGCTCCCCAGGGACGCAGTGGATGTCCCGGCCAGGCAGCCATCCTGCTGATGGAAGAGCGTGGGAAACGGTGTAAAATGAATGTGACATTTCCTGCTTCGCACCTACGCGTGTGTGTGAGCGTTCTCAGCGCTGCCTCTCTGCGTGTGCTGTGCCCAAGGGTCACTCACTGTCCTCTCCAAATTCATGGAATCACAGAATGTTAAGGGGTTGGAAGAGACCTTAAATCCCATCCATCCCACCCCCTGCCATGGCAGGGACGCCTTCCACTGTCCCAGGTTGCTCCAAGCCCCATCCAACCTGACCTTGGACACTTCCAGGGATGGGACAGCCCCAGCTTCCTTGGGCACCCTGTGTGCCTCACCACCCTCACAGGGAAGTACTTTGTAGTGTCTAACCTAAATTTTCCCTCTTTTGATTTGTACCCATTATTCCTTGTCCTGTCATTACAGGTCATTGTGGGGTTCCTCTCCAGCTTCTCTGTAGCCCCCTTCAGATAGTGTAAGGTTGCTATGGGCTCTCCATGCAATCTCTAAATTGCCTCCATGGGTCATTAGTGACTGTCCTTCACCCACCTGTGGTACCTCAATGTCTTTCTGCCACTCGTACCCACCTGGATCTTTTTTTTACTACACAAAAGTGGCTGCTGGGTCTATTTTGCCACGCATAAATGTCTCCTTGGTCATTATTGTCCCCACTTGTACCACAGCTGGCACAGTGAAGCCCCAAATGATTAAAGCACAGACATGAAACATTCCTCAAAGGCCAATTCTGTGGCTGCCAAATCCGGGACTGAAAAGAGATGCCTGTGCAAAATTAATTTGGCTTATCTCTGGGCATGGATTAGAAGCCTTATTAGATATTCATCTCCTGCTTTTTGCGCGGAGCTCTGTCTAGCCAGTGAGCAGAGTGGAGGGTGTATCTTAATGAGCAAGGACTCGGTGTTCTGCTTTACCTTTGTAACTTGGGGTGTTGCCTGTGGCTGAGAGAACCACATGCCCCGAGCCAGCTCTGGGGCAGTCTGCCATGCTCTCAGAGCTTTTTCCACAGGGCCAGAAGGTTTCATGGACACTTGCAGATGGTGGAAGTGCAATGGGAGTTTGAAGATTTAGGATCTGGTCAAAGCTCTAAAAGGGAAATGCCAGACATTGAGCTTGGGCCCATCAGGACTCTGTCCTTCAGCATCTGCCTTCCCCTCTCATGGCTGCTTGTGCTTACATCCTTGCCTGGCCCCCAGACTCCCTTCCAGCCCTGCTGCTCCCTACCAGTTTCTGAAAAAAATTAGTTTGAGCTAAGGCAAACTGCAGTTTCTTGAGCACAAGTGCAGGTATTGCCCTCCTGGTGCTTGAGTGGGGCAGCTTCCACCCAAAAGGATCCCTAGGAAAACAATGAAGTTAAATATTCCATCTTCAGTCCGAGTGCCCAGGCTGAGCCCAGAGCATCTGTAGTTGCAGAGGAGAGCCCATTGGGCCTCACATGGAGGAGATCCTCAGGGAATTCAGCTGGGACCATCTATCAAACCTCTGCTGAGAAGTGCAACAACTGCAGCTTCTCAGAAGCTTATCAGTTATTAGCTTATCAGGTCAATGGCCTCATTGTTAAAATGGCAGAACTCACCCTTACTCCACTGCCAGGTTTTGGGTGCAAGCCCAAGGCATGTTGGCATCAGACCTTCCCACAAAAAAACAATTTTAGAATTATTTTAGCATGGATAAAATATCCCTGCCCCCTTGCTTCCTTGGCAGAGAGAGACAGTGAATCTTTTCACAGTTGTAATCAACTTAAGACAAGGGGTTTATGGTGGAGAGTGTTGGACAACCTTTGTGATCAGCGTTCTGCTCTCGTCTGGAATATTCATGGAACAAACAAGAACAGGGCAGCGTGCTAAGGATGTGTGTGGGTTATTAAGATAAATGTCTGGAAGGAAAGTTCAATCACACTGCTCTCTGCAACCTAGGAAATGTTCATGCCGGGCACTTTGAGGGCAATGACAGGGTGGTGTGGCAGTGAGGAGAGGCCAGAGTCCACTGGGAACACGTCTGCCAGGGAGGCAGCGCTGCCGCGACCTCTGCCCGCGGCCGAGCACGTCCACGCTGGACCAGGCACTCTGAACAGAGAGGAGCTGTGGGGCTGAAGTTTGGTGGAACATGAAGAGAGAGATGCAGCTGTTCCTGCTGGAAAAGAAGCAACGTGACAGTCTTTGAGCACGTAAATCTGTGTGTCTGTCAATGATTTATGTGCTGGGGGTGGCTGTGCGTTGTGACTCCCCTCACCTGGGCAGGGACCTGAGCCCCAGGCTCACCCCAAGGTCCATCAAGCAGGTCTGCAAATACATTAGAGTCAGAGTTGGATGGAGGAAATAAATCTTTATACAACCAGCTGTTTTCATATACCAAGATACAGCCACCTCTTCTGTGTCCTCAGAGATGATAAATGTGCTTGTTTGGGTAAAGTTGTGCCCTTCAAAAATCTGTCTTGTGGTGACTATTACAAGTTTGATTAAAAATCTCATGCTCTTTCTGACAAGCACAGCCTGCATAACAAAATAAATGTGACAGGCAATTGGCTTGTTAATAAGTGCAATTAAGCACTATGGGGGCTTGGTTCTATCACAGTTTATTGGGAAAGCCACAGAATTTTTTATGCAGCTGGTTTCACGGAAATGAAATCATTGATAGTTTTGTACAGGAATGCCATGGAAATCCTTTTGTTTCCTGGCTCAGAAGACACACACCATTTTTCAGAGTGAAGGAATTCATTTGGCTCCTCTTTGTTACTCACAATTACTTTTTGAACCCCTCACCCAGGGACCTCTGTGGGGTGGTCTCACTTGAAGAACCTCACCACTGGGTCAGATAAAGTTTACATCAAAGCCAGTCATCATACAGCTGTTTGTTAATAATGCAGTGAGGGATCAGCCAGGATCCAAGAAAAATTATCCATCTTGTTTGACCTGTGGAGTCTGAAAATGCTGGAGCCCCATGCTGGCACTGTCCTCAGTGCCATGGGAAAATTGTAGGAGGTGTTATAATTCCAAGGAGAGGTTTTCTTTTATTTCTGTGTGGCCAGTGGGCTCCTCATCAGGAATAGGGATTGAGCCTGGACCTGAGCCCCATCCTGCCATCTTCAGAGCACTTTGTGTTGATGAACTTATACAAGGGACTCCAGCATGCCATTTTAGGGCACATTTTCTGTTAAAAAGAAATATTTGCTGGAAATACATTACCTGTACATTAACTGGAAGAGAATTCTGAAGAGATGGGCAACCTGTAAGGTGCTGTGCCACAGAAGTTGAGAAATAGAAATAATTGGTGAAATTAAGTGTAGGCCACCCCTCTAAAAACCTGTTCTGTGATCTGTGAATGAACCCAGGCAAGGGTAACGAGCAAGAAATTAGGATAGTTTGCAGGTCATGGATTCATCAGAGGGCCAGCACAGAGACAGCTGTTAGCACAAAACTGCTGCTGGAATGACTGGATCAATGATGACCTGGGTGGAAAAGGGAAAGGAGAAGGAGACAACCTTCCCATGAAAGCAAGCACAGACAGCAGGAGAGAGCAGCACACAGGTGGTTGGGTTGGGGCTGGGTTGTTTTCCAGGAAAAGAAAACTTCATCTAGTGAGAATCATAAAAGGTTGCAAAATCAAAGAGCCAAAGACTGGGAGAGCTTTGGTAAATATTAACAAATAAAGATCTGCATGCTTTGAACAACTAAATTTAAGGCAGTGGGAGCTTTTGTAGCGATTTGAATGGCTGGGGGTCAGTTCTTAGTGAGGCTACAGAGGGCTCACGGCCAAGGGGTCGGAGCTGGGATCCTTCCTTAGGGCATGTCAGTCACTGCTCCAAGGAAAGGACTGTGCCAGCAGCACATCTCTGCTGCTGGAGACATCCAGGAGATACTGCAGAGTGACTCTTCCTCCAAGGGACAACTTGGGAGCAAAAAGAGGCCGGAGAGGAGTCAGGAGCTCAGAAAGGGTTGTGAGGCGGAGCTGGGTGGAGGGGCCCATTCACAATAGCTGGCAAAAGCATCTCCCACCTCTATAAATGAGGGATTGTCAGTTCCATTTTTGAACTTTGCCCTCCCTTGATGATTTGGCATTTGCATGGTGGCTGTTCCTGCTTGTCTTCACCTCAGCAGTTATCTACCAGCAGGGTCTGATTATCTCGGGGCAGCGCTCCGTGCTTGTGACATCCCTTAATTAAACTCTGACAGTTGCTAACTATGGAAAAGAAAAATACTGGAGGGAGAAAACCCTCACTGCATTCTCATTAGACAACAATATTCAAGAGACTTTGGGTGCCACACAGGAGAGTGGTACAAAGGATATTTTTAATGAGCTTCAGTAAAGGTGCCCTTGATTTTGGTTTGTCTCTAATTGTGTGAGCTTTGATCTTGATTTCTTCAAGAGATATTTTACTGTGCACTTAGATAGCACTGAGACCTGAACAATTTTTTTTTTTGTCCAGTTTCTAAGAGAGGAAAAAAGTTTCCACTGGAAAATGGTTCCAGGGAAAGTTTCATCAGGGAAAACAGCATCCTCAGGATCTGTCCCTATAATTGTCTCCAAACAGGTTCTGCAGAAGGAAGAGTGCTCGAGTGATATGGAACACATGCACTGGGACAGGTGAAGCCAGATGCTGACTCCAGGGATGTGTTTCATGTTTGGCTATCATGTGCAGGGAGAGAAAAGCTTTAGGAGGGCAGGAAAGCAGCTGAGCAAGATTGCAAGGGCAGGTAATGCACAAACCCAGCTCATGGCCTGGGACTTCTTGGCCCATTCACTCTCCCTCACATTATGGCTCCAGTTAAGACTGGAAGCTGCGTGGGAGGGAATTTCTGCATTTATCACTTGGAGCGAGCGCCTGGCCTCCCTGAGAAGACTGTTGAAATCTCTTTTCTAATATGAATCATTTAGTGTTTTGCTTATTAGTAAAGCAAGAAACAAGATGCAAACTTGAGGTAATTGTAAAGCTGTTTTTAAATTAATCTTGGCATTTTTCTGCTTGACAAATCCGAAGCCTCTGAAATCATTGCACAGCTGTAACAAATGAAGTTTTTATTCAGGAGAGATCAAGTCTGGGTTTTTTTGCATTTCCAGCCATGGCTTTACAGCTAAGGCTGCCAGGAATTAAACTTTCTAGAACTAGACTGAGCTCACTGAGGGAAGAGCCTTCACTTCAGAGGGAGCTCAGGCTGCCTCAGATTAATACTTGATTCAGTGGAGCCTCAGAATTGAGTTTAGGGGTAGCTGGCATAAAGGCAATGCTGGAGAATTTCTGTCGTGTGAGAACAGCTGCAGTCAGGCTGTGAACCCTCCTCTTCCCAGCAAGAGCACAGGATAAAACCTGCTGAGACATCCTTGGTACCCTGCCACGAGCTCCCTTCTTGGGTGCCTTTTCATCTCCCTCCCTTCCATGAATATTAACAGCAGTTGTTTCCCCCTGAGGAGCTGCAGTGCTAAAAGCCAGCCAGCGATGGTTCCTCAGTGGTGGCAGCAGCTCTGGGAGAGGAGCTCGCTCACACCCGGCAGCCGCTGCTCTGCGGCGGAGCCATGGCCATGTAGGACACTCGAGCAATCAAACACGCCCGTGACTTCTTGCCATTATCGAACTGGGCTGGATTTAATCACCAGCAGTTCCAGCGCTGCGCCCTCAGCGTCGGGTGCTTGGAGGTCACCGGTGGGAGGGAATGCTGGCCTGGAATCCGGGGCTTCCCTGCAGAGAGGCTCACAAAAGGCAGAGGGAAAGAATTCAGCTGAAGCCTCACATGTTCCCTGCAATAAAGTTCCAGCATAGTGAAAGTTTAGCTGCAGTGTCTGCATGTGTCTGCAGCTCCTTCATCATGACTCAGGGGAAAACCTGCTGTTTATTGGTGTGAGTGAGTGCTTCAAGGGGCAGGTCTGCAGCCGGGGGAACATCCTGCTCCCAGGTACAACACTGACCTTTAGAGGTGCTGTGAAAGCACTTTCGGCCCGTTGTCTCCTGGATGTCTATTTGCTCCTTTCTTTATTATTTTTTTCCTTTAGCTATCTGCAGATTCCAGCGACAAAATTACTCAGGGAATAAATCACTGCCCAGTGAAAAGCACCTAATCAAACAGATAAGTCTTGCGTTTCACCCTTGCCTCTCTCACTCCCACACATGACTTTGCATGTGAATCTTTAAGACCTGTATGCCCTATATTTTTTCACTCTAATGCTGCAATTAATCACATTACATAACCAGCCTACTGCTGTTTCTAATTAAATTTTTCGGGGAGGGTGGGGAGGGAAGAAAGAACCCTGCATTTAAATACCGTGAAGGGTCTGTCTTGAAATGACAATGCCAGGAAGCGGCGAGGGAAGGCTCCCTCCATCCTCCTCCTCTCACCCCCGTGCGCCGGGAGCTGCGGCGCAGGCCCGGCTTATGCAACATCCCACGCCGGCGTCTGACTCACGCGCACTTACCTCACCCAGGACAGGCTAAAAATAGGGATTCATTCTTAACTCTGCACAGCCGGGCTCTGCCTCGCTCCCGAGAAGACCCTTGCCGGGATTAAAATAGCGCGCTGTGTTTCCTGCCGGG